TATAATTTGTATTGGTAAAAATGTGTAAAAAATAATTTATATTATCTAGATAATTTGTATTGGTAAAAATATATACAAAATAATCTATATTATCTAGATAATTTGTATTGGTAAAAATATATACAAAATAATTTATATTATCTATATAATTTGTATTGTTAAAAATATGTACAAAATAATTTATATTATCTAGATAATTTGTATTGGTAAAAATGTGTAAAAAATAATTTATATTATCTAGATAATTTGTATTGGTAAAAATATATACAAAATAATCTATATTATCTAGATAATTTGTTTTGGTAAAAATATATACAAAATAATCTATATTATCTAGATAATTTATATTGGTAAAAATATGTACAAAATAATTTATATTATCTAGATAATTTGTATTGGTAAAAATGTGTACGACATAATTTATATTACCTAGATAATTTGTATTGGTAAAAATATATACAAAATAATTTATATTATTTAGATAATTTGTATTGGTAAAAATATATACAAAATAATTTATATTATTTAGATAATTTGTATTGGTAAAAATATATATATGCCCATCTTTGTTGTCTTAAATAATTTGAAAAAAAAATCTCCAAAACGTCTAAAATGTTTTAAATATTCTTTCTGCCATGATTCTTAATTCACAAAAATTGATAGCCCAATGTGGCTATACCCTTAAGCAACCAAACAGTAACACAGCGGTACGTCTGCGCACTTATAACGTTAAAATCCGGGTTTTGATGCCGGTGGGGTGAGGCACAGCATACATAGCACATTGTATAGCTTTGTGCTTAACTTAGAAAAAAATGTTTTTAAGAGACATTAAATTATCATAAATACAATTTGAGTTCGCTTTTGTGCATTTTTAATACGTTAATCAATATTGCTAATAGTTATAATAAATTATAATTATAGCTAAGTAGCCAATTAAACTTCAAGCATGTTTTATTAATATAATGTGAAGAGAAACATATATTTTAAAAACGTCGCTAGATTTTGTCTGTTACCAGATAATTCGATCGATTTGCCATCTTTCTTCAGACCATTCGAAGCAAAGTTAACGGTGTTTGGTGGGTATCACGTCGTGTCGTGGAATAGGTTTAAAACACTCAGGTTTAACCTCGCAGTCAATGAGACGCCCGGCACGGCCATCAGATTTGTTCAGAACTCTACGTACCTAACGTTTTATGTGAGTAGTCTAGACAGGCTATTTAACTGTTTTAAGTACCTTAAATACACAGCGCTGCCCTTACATCTTATAAACTTTGTGCATTGAAATACAAAATAATGGAAACAAAAAATGTTTCGCACGCGAAGCACGAGTTTTCTCTCTAGCACCTATTAAAGGTCTTTTGATGAGAAATTATATTCACTACTAAGGAAACGCCTAATCTGAGTATTAATAACATTCACTAAAAACAATTTATTGTACATAAGACAATGAAGACATAGTTTAACCACTGTATCCAATGGAATACTGAATCCCATTAAAAATAAATTTGGATTTGATGAAGAAATAAAAGAAAAATATATTTTCTGAGCGTATTGTTATTCAACTTTTGATAAACTTTGCTGTTATTTTTTTTTAAACTTAAGAGTAAAAATAAGTGACATGTATTAATAAAAAGGATAAACAATGTACAGTAGTCATTTACATAACGAGTAACCAAATTTATTGCACAATGGACTGTCTGTGCTCTGTTCATCGCGGGTATCTAAACCCGATTTTTAGCGTTATTAACTGTCAAATTAACCGTTGAGCCACCAGAGGTTTATTTGTTTGTATTTAAGCACAAAGCTACACAATTAGCTATCCGTGCTCTGCCCACCACAGGTAGTGAAACCCGATTTCTAGCGTTGTAAGTCCGCAGACATATCGCTGTGCCACTGGGGGGC